CCCAAGACACAAACCCCGCCCCTGGCCCCGCCCACCTTGGTGTCACAGCGGAAGCGCGCGCGCTCCCCCGGCCGCATGGTCCGCAGCACCGCTTCCCACACAGGCAGCTTGAACTTCTTGCCGACGATCAGCTCCATGGGCTTCCCCCGCGCCCGGCTGTCGTCCAGCGGCGTCTCCTCATCGTCGCACCGCAGCGTTCGGTAATGGAAGGTGGCCTGAAGTGGCAGGAGGAGCCCGCGGCGTCACCATGGAAACGCGGAAGGGAGGGGGATCGGCGCATGCGCGCTTCGCCCCCGCGTCCTTCTCCCGTCGCCCCCCCTCCTTCCCCCCCGCCCCCGCCCGTCCCTCCGCGGCTCTGACCTTGGTGCCGTCGCGGAAGTCCGGCAGCGGCCCGGTGCCCTCCCGCAGCACCTCCTTGTCCACGCCGTCCGCCCGCAGCTGCTCGACCTGCTGCGCCATCGCGTCCGCTCCGCCCGCGCCGCCCGGCTCGGTTCGGTCGCCTCCGCCGCCGATCGGATCTTTCCGGAGCTGCGCGGCCGCGCGCGGCGCCCCCTGCCGGCCCGGCGGGGACGCTGCGGGGCGGGGGCTCCGCGAGAGCGGGGGCGTGGCCACGGGCGGGGGGTCCCGCCCCCCTCTGCCCCAGGCCCCTTCCAGCGCTTGTGACGGACACGGTGCCGTGTCCTTGGAAGGGTGGGGAGGGAGGTGCTGACGGTGTCCCCGGGAACCACTGCCGGGGTCCTCGCCCGCCGCGGGGAAACCGGAGCCGTGCCGTCCCTCGCTGCCGGCCCGGTCGTGTCTCGGTGCGGGCGGCAGGGCCGGGCTGTGGCAGGTCCATGCGACACAATGGGGACACCCCAGGGCTCTCCAGGGTTGGGACCAACCCCACAAGGTGTGATTAGAGAAGGAGGACGATGTCCAGGGATGCTGAAGAGAGGATGTCCTGAGCTGGGTGGCAGCAAACACGGAGCTGCGGGGATTTGGGTGCTGCTGGGGATGTGTCACCTTCCAGCCGAGCATCCGTGCCCGGCATTCCATTCCCCCTCCGGAGGTGGTTCCGGCTCCGGGTGGGCTGAGGGGGCAGCAGGATCCATGGGGATGGAGTGAAGCATCCCCAGGGCCATCCCCCAGCTGTGATGCCGAGTATCCCGGGGGCTGCACTGGGGATGGAGCGAGGAGAGGAGCGTCATGCTCCCTCCATCCTTCCGGGTGCTTTCCCACAGCCCAGAGCCTCCCGGCTCACATGGAGTTCACACGGTTCCCTTTAAAAAGGGAGGCCATGGAATTTTACGGTTTTTTTTTTCCTTCAATCTTTCCAGGTAGTGCTCTGAATTACTTTATTTCTGTCTTGCTCCCAGTGGTGCATTCCCCAGCAGTCCCACAGCAGCTCTTGGACAGTGCAGCTGCCAGAGGTCTCTCCGGACTGTGGGACAGGCAAAAACTCCACGGCAAAGGAGAACCTTGATTTGGGAGATGGAGAGTTTAATGGCATCAGTTGGAGCTGTGCCAGTCCGGGGAATGCCAAAGGAAAATACAGGACCCCTCCAATGGGAGTGTTTTTCCCGGGGACAAGATTTTGGCAGAGAGTCCCTGAGATTTGGGGTGATTTTTCCAGTTCCTTCTGTGGGTTCTCCCTCTCTCAGCCCCACTAGCCGAGCGGGAGGTGCAGCAGAAGCAGCTCCAGGGCTGGAGCTGTTGGGTGGGTCTGGGAGCCCAGATTGTCATCCCAGTGCAGCCTCCCAGGGGGATGTCCCCGCAGCAGCACCCTGGGAAGGGAGGAGACATCTGGCACTGCTGGAACCAGAGTGGGAGATGTGGCCCCATCCCCCGGGGACATTCCCTGGGCCGTGGGGCAGCCAAACGAGAGGTGGGGGACTCCAACTCTCTGGGGGCTGCCCTGCCCTCCCTTGATTTTTTCCCCCTTGTTTTGGGTGGCATGTCCATGTGTCAAGGGCTTTCTGGAAGCACCGAGCTGCTGGTTGGGGCAGCTGGACTCGTTTTGTGCCTTCTCTGGAGGTGGTAGAGTCTGGGGGATGATGGTGTCTTTATGGGCACCCCAGTGTCACTGGGAGAGCGAGGGTGGGGTGGGATGAGAAGGGTCATGTGGGGTCCCCCCCAAAAAGGGAGATGACAGCCTACAAATGCCTGAAAATGCATGAGAGGAGTGTGTGTAAAGTACTGTAAAAATATATATAAAAATATATAAAACTATAAACTTTCTCATCATTATATTTATTGCTACAAAAATTGTTTCCAAAATAAACCCTCCTATCTGCTGTATTTTAGACTATAATAAGTCTGACTGTGGATCTGTAGGGTTTGAAAATACAAATCTACCGTATATAAAGAAAACAATAAAGGGCTTGAAAACGTAAAAGGGGACCTGTATGAAGGAACTAGGAACAACCGCGTGAATTCGAATGTTTTTTCCTCTCTCCCCTCGCAGGAAGCGGCGGGAGCGGGACACGGGGACAGCCCCGGGGGAGGGGGCGGGGCCGCAGGGACAGCGCGGGCTGCGATTGGACGGAGGCGCTCGAGTGCTGATTGGGCAGCGGCTGCCGGGCCCGCGCTAGAGAAGGGCGGGCGGGGCCGGCGCGGCTGCGGCTGTTTGTG